TCGTGCTGGGCAGAGGCAAGTACATGCTTTTTTTTTTTTTTTTTTTTTTACTTTTGTGAGTGACTAATTTTGCATTTGCTTTTAATATTCAAGCTTTTAACTCTACTGCACTTGGTGTGTGCACTTCCCATTTATGTCATATTAACATTTCCCCAATCTTGCGAAGAGCAGCAACAAAGGCAGCAAGAGGTGTCTTTTTACTCTTAATGATTCAAATGATTTGTAAAGGATTATTTTTGTATAACAAAAATGTTATACTTACCTGCTTCTGTGCAATGATTTTGCTCAGAGCAGCCCCATTTTCTCCTCTTCTGGTGTCCCCCACTGCAGCTCCTGGCTCCTCTTGCCAAGTGGCTTGCTGGGGGGATACTCAAAGCAGGAAGAGCCAGGAGCTTCAGCGGGTATTTGACTGACAGTAGGAGGAGCCATTGGATCCCACTGCTCTTGCTGAGTTCAGTGAGGGAGAGACAGCAGCGCCACTGCTCTTGTGCACAGCACTGGATCAAAATGAGGTTCAGGGGGAAGCTGCACCGAAAAGGTTTTTTAAACTTACTGCAGAGAATGCATTGAGGTAAACAAAAAAAAAAAAAAAAAAAAAACCTTTAGCCTTTACAACCACTTTACCTCCTTCCTGACTAGGGCATTTATTTGGAATTCAGCATTGTGCTACTTTAACTGGCAGTTGTGCGGTCATGCAACACTGTATGCAAATTAAATTTATATAATTGTTTTCACATAAATAGAGCTTTCTTTTGTTGGTGTTTGATCACCACTGGGTTTTCTATTTTTTATTATACAAATGAAGAAAACACTGAATTGTGGGGAAAATATTTCTACTCCATTATAAAACATATCAAGTAAAAAATAAATAAAATTTCTTCATAAATTTAGGCCAGTATATGGTGTATATATACTGGAATTTACACAACTCCGATGCTTTTATAGCAATGGCGGTGGTCAGCAATTTATAGTAGGACTGTGATAAGTGTGGTGGGCAATCTGGCAGTAGTTGATGCTGACTGGGAGGTACACTGACTGACATCAATAGTGAGTAATATAGTGATCAGTGCTAATACTGTACACTGTCACTGTACTAATGACACAGGCTGTCAAACTGTCTGCCTAACAATATGTAATGTGTGTTACTTTTACTTTACTATCTAGCTGTTTTTGTCCCAGTTTTGCAGGAAGTCAGATAGCTGTTTTCTGTACACAGTTGTGTGTCTTTAGAAACACAGAACTCTGTGTGTGATTGGACACAGCCAACTTGCTGAGTTTAGCCAAAATCATTGGCTGAAATTAGCTGCCAAACGCATGCAGTTTCCAATCAAAGAAAGGGTCTGCAGGAGGCGTGCATGTGTGTGCCCCAAACCCAGAAGGCAGCCTATTGTGTACATGTAGGTGATCCTGCCTGCACCTGCTGCCTGCTCACAGTAGATTTACAAAGAGGCATTGGCAGGTGGTTAAGCATTTGTGGTTTAGTTATACACATGACTGTTTTTTTAATGATGGATTTTTCGCATTGCTAATTTTTCATATGTTCTTATATATATTTTATATAAATTTGTTTGATTTTCATTATTTGAATTAAAGTCATCTATTTTTTTTTTTTTTATACAACCATCATCCAATCACAAAAAATACCACTGGGCCCTATAAAAGCAGACAGGTTTTTTTTTTTTTGGTTAAACACTCCTTCCATAGCCTGCCCAACGTCAGACTAAAGGTTTATTATTCTCCCATAAGACAGTTATGCGCATACATTCTGAGCCTTGCCAAGTATTGCCCACAATGCAGAAGAATACTACACAAGACAGCTTTTAATGTACATCCACTGAAAACTATGAATATATGCACAATTCAGACACTGACATCTCTGTGAAATTCCATCTCACATTTACATTGATTCTGTTGAGGCTAATACATATAGAGCCATGTGCTTAGGACTACTTGACCTGGAAAATATAGTTATATTTTTGAACTTTATGTAAAAGCATGTTTTTTTTTTTTTTTCGTTTTTTTTTAATGCATCAATGAACCAACATCTTAATAAGCTGGGTATACAAAGTCAATCCTGTATTAGGAGCAGTGTTCAAGAAAGTCACAATAACACAGAATGTTAACGTACTGCTTCAACATCAGATTTGACAAGTGCACCCACATCACTCTGAAGCAGGGCTTCACAGAACCCTAGGATTCCTCCAGAAGTTGCTAGGGGTTCTTAGAGCAATTTCGGTCTCTCAGATAAGTTTCCACCGACACCACTGATCTTTTCAGCTGTCAGGGGGTAATTCATCCCACTGACCACAAGTGTAAGGAGCATTCTTCCCACTGACCTTCACACTAGTGTATCATGAGTTGTAGATCTAGTACTTTTTAGCAGAGGTTCCCTGAGACCTGAAAGTTATTTTAAAAGGGTTCCTCTTTGTTGAAAAGGTTGATAAAAGCAGCTTTGAGAAAAACAATGGAGGAAGATTATTAAGGTGGATTGATTCTTTAGTGTGTGTCCCAAAGGCACTATTTACTTCACACTATTACTCCACCAGTGCACATGCATTCTGTGCAGTGCATGAATGCACCCCATTAATTGGCAGTGTGCGAAAACAGAGCCTAAATGAGCAACGCTGACTGGCCAGAGATTTAGCATCTATTTCAAATGATCAAGGAATAATAACATGAGACATACCTGATGCTCACTGATCTACTAAGATGATCTTATTTGCAGACTTCTAGTGTGGTGTGTAACATATTTCCTGTGTCTAAGGCAAATTTTACAGACTTCTTCAAGTCCGCAGTTGGATGAGAAGATCTTCTCATACGAAACTATGTTTTACTAGATCAGGACATTTCCCATTGCCTTCAACTCTGAGATGTGGCAATCAGCTCAAGGTTTTTCAAGCCAAATTATCTAAGGCCCTTTTCACACTGATTAAGTGCGGCTTGAGCGCACTGTGGGTGTAGCGCACAGTACCTTTGGATTTAGTTCAGTTTCTGAAAGTCCTGTATGCAGGACTTTCAGAAAGCACACCAATACCATGGGAGATCATAGAACTCTACGGGAAGGCACAGATAACCTGCACAAAACCTGCAGGCACACTGCGCTACAACTTAAGTGGAGTCAAACTGCATTCCATCAGTGTTAAAAGGGGGCTGAACTGAAAAAAATCCCAGGCATTTAACTTTAACCAAAAGTAGATTTCATTGTAAAAATTGTACCTAAAAGTCTAGATCAGTAAACTGAAAATCTCTTTATGCGGTGAATAATAGTTGAAAGTTTCTTTGACAACAGCAGGGAATCTAAAGAAGAACTGGTCCTAGAAAGATTGCAAAGAATCTCTTTATCAGTTTTAATTAGTAAAATAAAAAAAGTAGCCAAAATACTGGAAATACTGGCTTGTATGTTTAGAAGACCCATAATAAAATCCCTATTGGATCCTGTGGAACTACACTTATTCTGTCATCTGGGTGTTTTGAGTTATCAAAGGTAATTGGCCCTGTTAAGTGGATGTGTATGAAATGTGGAGGACAGACTCAAAGCAATGGGAAACTTAACCACTTTTATTCTTTAGCAACAATACAGACTTATTTCTGGCAACGTTACATGAACTGGCTACGACGGAGTGTTTCAAAGGCAATAAATACTCACTTTAGTTGATGAGTGTTGGAATGCATTTGGAGAAAAACACCACAATTAGGACGGTTAATGATCTAAACTTTGGAGGCTGACGGAAATCAACCTGAAAACATGCTCTAACAGTTAAACGATGGTCATTAGTGTCACTTTCAAATAAAAATAGATCTATACAATATGTTCATTTGGTCATGTTCTATTTACAAGTTAAAAAAAATTAAATACACAAAGTTAAACTCCCCAACTCTGGTAATACAAGTTAGTAGAATAACCTGCAATGATAATAGGTGGATGCTTGTGTGCCAACAACTGAAATAAGATCCAGCTTTATCTTTGCAGTGCAAATTATTTGATCACATTCACACAGTATGTTCTAATGCAGAAAAAAAGAGATAAGGAACTTGGGTGATAAAGCAGTTTTCAAGACAACACATTGGTTTCTCTGTCCATTAAAATGTTTTTTTTTTTATTTTTTTCTAGGATGAGAAGCATAGCCCATGATATGAGCAACACTGGCGAAATGAAAAAATGTCTTACAATAAAATACATTAGACATTTAAATAAATAAACTTAAAACTCTACGGGAGGAAACTTTATTTTAACTAGATGGGTGTAGAATGAGCTGCACAAGCAACAGGCATACCTCTTATGGAAAACAGTGTAAACAGACAAAAACAAAAAGAAAACAAAAATATAAATGAAATGAGAGACTAGAAAACAAAAGAAAACAAAAATACTGACTGAGGTAGCAGTTATCTGCTTTGTGCAGGAAAAAAAATGGCTTACGGCTATATAAAAAGCCCATTAAAAGAGACAGCATTAATGATATCAAACCAAATCCAAATGACCATGCAGAAAGACAGATCATGCTTTGTATTTTTAGACATGTAATCACTTTCCCTAAATCTGCTATTAATTTTCTGCAGATAATGTCCATTGAATCAAATTAAAGTTCCTTTTCGCTTCCTTATGTTTGGGTGTTTTTTTTTTTCCTTTTTTTAAAATGAGAATGAATATTATGAAACAGAACACTGTACATGCTTTTTTCCCATCTACAAAAAATATTTGCATAAAATAGTGTTAATTCTCTGTACATGAACACTAAGTGTATATGTATAAAAACAAAATAAAAAAAAAGAAAAAAAAAAAAAAAAAAAAAAAAAAAGTGAGGCACCTCTTGTCCAGAATGGAGTCAAGAGGTGTGTGTGTTTTGGGGAAGCAAAATAAGACCTAGTATGAGAAACAAAACTTGCCTTCACCAGCTCTACGTTCATGTGAAATTTCAGCAGAAATAGACAGTTGCTTTAAACAATTAAAAAAAAAAAATGAATTGGTTAAGTTAAACATTTCCATTCTGTAAAAATGTCAGTCAAGACCAAAACATCTCAGTAATGTTAGTGTCGGTGCTATAAAGCCAGATAACCAGAGGTAAGGTAATGAACACAAACGGCCAAGAAATTCCCTCAGTGCATGCTGAAAAAGTGCACGGTTTGGCGGCAGGCTTTTCACACTCTTTACCAGGTTCCAAGTAGTTACGGGCAATAAATTTAAGTGTCTCATCCAGAAGAATGACCGGTAATGAAATTTTCAGCACCATCAACCACTGAGTCAGATTCAATGGAGTGATTTGGAAGATGAGCTATAGAAAGTGGAGAACAAAATTAAAACAGTGAGAACATTTCTGCAAAGTGTGAGATAACCCAAATGATGCAAAAGACAGGTGTACTCACAGGTAAACGGTTCAACATAAAGAATTAGGAAATGGAGGGACATGGATAAGCAAATTGAGCCCAGAAGCCACACATTCTCCCATGGAGGCATTCTCAGAAGAGACTGGTTTTCAGACAAGCTGAGAAAAGAAAAAAATTTAAGAATGGATCTTAATGCTTTGTTTAGTGTACTTCAAAGTCACTCAAATACAGCAATAAAACAAACACAATAAAAATCCTAAGAACGAAAAATCACACTCATTTTAAAGAAAATCAACAATTGCTATGTGAAAATTCGATAACTCCAGTCATTTAGAATATAAAAAAAAAAATACAGTTTTGCAAGCAATATATCCCTTATCAGAAGAACAAATCAACAAGGAATATGTACGGACTGCAATTCAAGACCCAGGTTTCTAGAGTAACAATGTTATGCAATATATAATGCAGGAATGCTGAAGCTGTTTTAAACAGAACAAAGTAGAGAAATGTCTTCAACATTATAGAACATGTCCAGCTGAATATGACCAAATACATCTAGCTATATCTAAAAGAGAACCTTTACAGACAGTACATAACACAGAAAAAAGATGTTCTCCTATGAGAATGGTCACACATTCTTGACAACTGTTTAAGCAAAGACCCTCTACAGTATTGGTATTTTACATCCGCAATTCTAAAAAAGTTGGGATGCTGTGCAGTGATTTGCAAATCTCATAAAACCATATTTTATTCACAACAGAAAATAGAAAACATAGAAAATATTTTAAACTGAGAAAAAAAAAAAATAATGTAATTTTGAAATTGATGGCAGCATGAATCACATCAAGCCATCAAAGTTGGGACAGGGCCATGTTTACCACAGTGTAGCTTTCTTTTAACACTCTGTAAACATCTAAGAACTGAGGAGACCAATTGCTGGAGTTTTGGGAGAGGAATGTTGTCCCATTCTTGCCTGATCTAGAGTTCTAACCACTAAACAGTCCTGGGTCTTGGTTGTATTTTTTGTTTCCAGATTTTCAATTGGTGAAAGGTCTGGACTGCAGGCAGGCCAGTTAAGCACCCGGGACTCTTCTACTACGAAGCCATGTCGTTGTTATAGATGCAGTATGCGGTTTAGCATTGTTCTGCTGAAATATGCAAGGCCTTCCCTGAAAAAGACTTTGTCTAAGTGGGAGCATATGCTGCTCTAAAATCTAGATATATCTTTCAGCATTTCCAAATGTACAAGCTGCCCGTTCTATACACACTTATGCACCCTATACCAGAGATGCAGGCTTCTGAAATGATCACTGATAAGCTGGAGGCTCCCTCTCCTCTTTAGTCCAGAGGACTTAGCTTCCCTAGGTTGCGAAAAAAGTAAAATTTCGATTTGTCTCACCACAAAACGGTTTTTCCACTTTGCAACAGACCATTTCAAATGAGCTTTGACCCAGAGAAGACTGTGGCATTTCTGAATCATGTCCAAATATGGCTTCTTTGCATGATAGACCATGCTGTTTACAGGCAGTGATTTCTGGAAGTATTCCTGAGTCCATGCAGTGATGTTCATCACAGAATCATGCTTGTTTTTAATGCAAATCATTGCAATCTGTTTTTATGTAGATTTTACAGTGTGCCAATTTTTTTTGGAGTTGGGGTTGTATAAACATATAGTAAATACATGCAATTACAATATGCTTGGTCCTGAAGCCTAATTTCCATATATAGTGGGGGACAAACAGCAGTCATATGGAGGAGAGCATACAGTAAATCATTGTGGGACCACATGTACCATTGCATAAGGTCAGTTGTGAAAGGAAACCTGCCAATCTCCCAAGTCATCTGTCTTCCACACAGGAAGTGCATCAACATTAATTGAAACTTTGTGTTACACACTTCAAAATGAAACCGAACTGGGAAAGGCAATACTGAACAAGATATTTGGTGTACAGAAGGCACCCACAAAGTTCCAGACCATGCTTCTTGTCACAGCCGGAACCCTAGCGGACCTTTCTGGGGTAATACACTTTCACCATCATCCCTCATGATAGGCTTGGTACCTGACTGACCTATCACCTGGCTTATAGCACCACTTTGGAGGAAGAAGGTGGGGGTTGCAAGCCTAAATAAATATGAACCTTCAGAAAAACTGTCTTGTGCTGGACATTTAAAGTGGTTTTGGAGGCACTGTATGTTGGCTATACATAAAATTTGGTTGAGAGAACTATACATAATCACCAATGTTCAGTTAAATTTACCTGTTCAAGGCATTACACATTTCAATAGTGACAAGGACTGACAGAGCCATTGTCATTGGGTAAGGAGACTCAAAGATTTCACACTGAACAGTCTCAAAATCTGGGTTGTCCTCTTTGCACTGAAGGAAATGGCTCTGAAAGGAAAAAGAATCTGAATTAGCAGACAAAACCAGTTAAATCTTTCAATTAAATTACATATATTTTCACTTACAGTATGTTTTTATTAAAGATTTTCAAGAATTTACAAGAGAGATACACAGATATGACAAATATACAATTAGTTGCCTGAGCTAGGAACGGCCAGTGTCAGGGGGTAATATTATAACACAAATAAGGCCTACAGGCTTAAAAGACCAACAAGACAATGTGGTAGGAGCAGCCTACAACAAGTTGAGAAAAGTGTGTGATGGGTTTCCTCCCAGACACCCTGATAGGTTAGAATTGGCTCCTGTCTAAATTGTCCCCAAGATCTACATGTATGAATGTGAGTTAGGGATCTTAAATTGTAAGTTCCTCAAGGACAGGGACTGATGTGACTGTACAATACAGTGGGGAAAATAATTTGATCCCCTGCAGATTTTGTAAGCTTGCCCACTTAAAAAGAAATGGTCTATAATTTTTATCTTGAGTATTTTAAATTAGAATAACAGAATATCAACCAAAAATCCAGAAAAAAAAAAAAAGCATGATACAAATGTTATAAATTGAGTTGCAGTTTAGTGAGTAAAATAAGTATTTGATCCCCTACTAACCAATAATTCTGGCTACCACAGACTGGCTATGTGCTCATGTGGTACACAGATTAGTCCTGTCAATTTAAGAAGACGTATAAAAAGACACCTGTCCACAGAATCTCTTTCTTCCATTCAAACCTCACCACCAAGGACAAGACCAAAGAGCCGTCAAAGGACATCGGAGGCAAGATTGTAGACCTGCACAAGACTGGAATGGGCTACAAGATGATCATCAAGAAGCTTTGTCAGAAAGACAACTGTTGGAGAGATTATTCGCAAACAGAAGAAATACAATATAACCATCAAATCGCCCTCGGTCTGGAGCTCCATGCAAGATTTCGCCTCATGGGGTGAGGATGATCATGAGAAAAGTGAAGGATCAGCCCAGAACAACACAGGAGGAGCTTGTGAATGATCTCAAGGCAGCTGGGAACACAGTCACCAAACAAACAAACCATTGGGAACACAATACGCCACCATAGATTGAAATCCTGCTGAGCCTGCAAGGTCCCCCTCCTCAAGAAGGAACATGTACAGGCCCATCTGAAGTTTGCCAATGAACTCAAACGGATTCAGAGGATTGGGAGAAAGTGCTGGGGTCAGATGAGACCAGAATTTAGCTCTTTGGCATTAACTCGACTCGCCGTCTTTTGAGGACGAAAAATGCTGACTATGACCCTAAGAACACCATCCCTACAGTCAAGCACAGGTGGAAACATTATGCATGGGGCCTGTTTCTCTGCTAAAGGTATAGGCTGACTCTGTCGCATTGAGGGGCCAATGGGCAGGGCCATGTATTGTAAAATCTTGGATGAGGATCTTCTTCCCTCAGCCAGAACACTGAAGATGGGGCGTTTATGGGTTTTCCAGCATGACAAGGACCCAAAACATACCACCAAGGCAACAAAAGGAGTGGCTTGATAAGACGCACATTAAGGTCATGAAGCCTATCCAGTCTCCAGACTTTAATCCTACAGAAAATTTACAGAGGGAGCTGAAACTTCGAGCTGCCTAGAGACAGCCAAGAAACCTTAAGGATTTAGAGAAGATCTGTAAAGGGGCTAAAATCCCTCCTGAGATGTGTGCAAACCTGGTAACCAACAACAAGAAACATCTTACCTCTGTACTGGCCAACAAGGGTTTCTCCACCAAGTAGTACCAAGTCATGTTTTGCTTGTGGATCAAATACTTCATTTTACTCACTGAACTGCAATTCAATTTATAACATTTGTATTGTGTTTTTTTCTGGATTTTTGCTTGATATTCTGTCTCTATCATTTAAATTACAGGTATGATAAATTAAAGACCCTTCATTTCTTTGTAAGTGGACAAACTTACAAAATCTGCAAGGGACCAAATAATTATTTTCCCCACTGTATATGTAAGGCACTGCATATATTGTCTGATATATAATTACCTGTAAGAAAATAAATAACTGATGAGAAACTGGCTACAGTATATTGTTGGATTCAATAAAAGGTGAGTAATGAGACTGCATATATTTTCATTGTAAAAGTCTTGTTAAAATGTCTGCTTTCCTCTTCCCTTTCTATGCAAGAATCATTAATAAGAAACAGACAGCAAGATATACTTTCACCCAGACCTGCCATTTGAATGGAATCCCTGATGTGTTAAACAAAATTTCTTTTGTGCTCATGTGCATTAAAACATATACAATATGTAGAATTCTTTCCAAACAAAAACCACACAATTTACACATAATAAACCACAGAATTCCATTCAAGAAAAAAAAATTCCCTCCTGCTTCTTCAAATCTTTTGTGACTAGTGTCAAAAATACATTTTCAATTTGACCCCAATAACTTTTAGTAAAAATCAAACTGTTCCAAAAACAAACTGGCCAGCTTTAAACATACAATCATACCAAAGTAGATATAAAAGTAAAAATACCACAGTAACATGAAGATCACTTCACAAAAAAACAAACAAACATTCTTATAGGTACTTGTTCAGTACTAAAAAGCATGAACAAAATCTATATTCAAAACTTAAAATCTTCCACCATAGAACTAAAATTATGATTAGTACCAGTTGATAGAAAGTCACTCTTGGTCCATCATCAGCAGCAATAAACCACCAGGCAGCAGCACCAACTGTAGCGGCACCAACATAACCTAAAGGCAAAACAGTGTGTCAGAATTTTTACACATGATTTGAAGACAGCCCATAGCCTTTTTTTTTTTTTTTTACACATGAAAATGATCAGCTAAATGTAAAAAATATTATCAAAAGGTGTTTTTGTATACAGGGTATAAATACATATTTATATAGAAAATAGGTGTAGATATATTTGCTCATTACATAAGTAGGCTTTGCTTTATGCTGTTCCTTTTATGGGTAGGGTCTAATTAAATACAAATTCAATGCAGTCTCTAATTAGGTCAAACATTCATAATTCACAGGTAGCCAAAGTTCATGGCATCTTTTCCTAGACTGCAAATTACATGACTGAGCTGTCAACAACCTTTTAAACACTTGCAAAAATAGATACTTTTAATTCAGACCTGTGATTTGATAATGTCTGCAAAAGGTTCTCATTTATCCAGGTCATGGTATATCTAGTAGTAGTTACTGCCATTCAACTGGACTTGTTCTGTAATGTATGAAGACATTTTGTAGCTTGTCCAAGCCACTCCTCCACAGGCAAAAAAGCCACTACACATCTAACTGGAACCACCATCTCTTCAACATATACTACTCTAACATTTCTGCCCCAGTGTTCTGACAAAAATGTATACCTTCATTCATGCAAATCGTGGATTAGCACATATGAAGCCTTTGTGATAACAAGCATTGGGCTGTAATTAATACATGGTGGTTTCCACACATTTCACACCTCCCATCCCGTCACTAGACAACATCTTCCTTTCCATGGTAACATGATCATGGTGTCAGTGTGACCTGTTTGGATATAAATGCTGGACTTTTTTCCTGACATGTCACATTGGAACATAAGCAGCTTGAACAAACTATGAAAAGTCTTCAACATTACAGAACAAGCCCAGCTGAATGTGATCAACTACTACTAGATATGTAATGTGAGAATACTGACATACAACTTATTAACTATTGACTCTGTTCAATAATACTTTGAGTAATTGGTACAAGATAAAAACACAGTAATACACCCTATAAGCAATATTGGATATACAAGAGTACAATACCTCACAGGCATCTAATCCTGGAGGTTGAGGATATTGCTCCCAAAAAGTATAAAAAGCTGGTTTAAAAAACACATGACTTCAGAGGACGGTGTTTTTTTCTTACTCAACAGCCCATTGTAATATGTTGACCTCATCTAGTCCAGATTAGAACAAGATCTGTCTTAGCTTTTTATTGGGGACACATAAAAAGAGCCAACCCTCTTTTTTTTATTATTTAAATGGACTAAATAGGTAGGTTACCTCCCACACTAACTGCACCTTTCCAATGATGAGAAGGCCCATAGCACAGGAGCTAAAACATTTCAGAACAAGTTTGCCAAAAAGGTCTAAATACACAAATGCATCAACTTTTTCTTCCCAAAATTAAGGAAAAAAATACTCACATCCAATAGCAAGGTAGCGAAAGAAGAGCCAGCCGCTTATGAGTGGTTCCTTAGGATTACGGGGTGGCTTGTTCATGATGTCCAGATCTGGTGGATTGAAACCCAGTGCAGTTGCAGGAAGACCATCCGTCACCAAGTTAACCCACAACAGCTGGACAGGAATTAATGCCTCAGGAAATCCAAGGGCAGCTGTCAGGAAAATGCTGCATGGAATGAAATGCACATATTAAAATATCTGCTATTAAAACTTTACAAGATATTTGTACCTCCCAAAACATCATATTACTTAAAACATTGTGCAAAGTCTATACAGTGGTTGGGTATTAAACCTGCCCTTATACTTTCTGCTTGCTCCAAGATGAACTGTAAGATGGATATCTGTATCGATCCTGAAAGCTACAGATAAAGAGCAGGATGCATATAAAAGACAAACTTTCAGGGAAAGTCAGCCAACTCACATAAAAACACATGCAAACAGTGTCAACAAATCAGCAGGCTTTGACTAGTACATACCAAACCACTTCTCCGACATTTGAAGAGATGAGGTACCGAATGAACTGTTTCATGTTGTTGTAGATGGCTCGCCCTTCCTCAACAGCAGCCACAATTGTAGAAAAGTTATCATCAGCCAGCACCATTTCTGAAGCCGTTTTGGCCACTGCAGTCCCAGATCCCATAGCTATTCCAATCTCTGCTTTTTTTAATGCAGGGGCATCATTGACTCCATCTCCAGTCTAAAACCAAAACAGTCACATCAATATAATTAAAGTTACAGATATAATGAAACAGAATTGATATGGGAAGCTTTATTTGCCAAATGAAACATCTGAAAACACTTCGTAACAAAGCTTACCAATATTCCACAGTTGTAATAGAATAATGAAAGATATTTATAACCATATCAAATAGCAATGTCTTCTCTTCATTTACTTACCATGGCTGTGATCTCATCAAAAGACTGCAGAAACTCAACAATTTTGGACTTGTGTGAAGGTTCTACACGAGCAAAGCAGCGTGCATTCATGCAAGCTTCCCTTTGTACAGCAGGAGACAACTCATCAAACTCGCGACCTGTGAAAGCCTTATCAGAAACATCCTCATCTTCACGGAAGATACCAATACGTCGACAAATTGCAACTGCTGTTCCTTTGTTGTCACCAGTAATCATAATCACGCGGATTCCAGCCTGACGACACATTTTCACCGATGCAGCAACTTCGGTTCTAGGAGGGTCCAGCATTCCAACACAGCCAACAAAAGTCAGATTGGTCTGAAGGAGGAAGCACATTAAAAGACAATCAATCAACTTTACCAGAGCAAGAAATTACTTTTAAATAAAATACAGAAATAAAAATAAAAGTTGCATTAACTGTTAAATTCAAATCATAGTCCTACTGCTTCAGAATAATTCCAATTCTATGTTTTTATACAATTACATTGCTCAAGCTTAGATCAATATAATATCGGACTGATGCCCCTAGAAGCTGGAAATCACTGAAGTAGACACCACTATTTCATTAATCTCCACTTACAGGCGCCAGAGAATGCTTTGCATTTTTTGAATGAATGCAAAATGTTTCCAATTGGCTGAAGAGGCAGAGCAATGACATCACTTTACCTTCTCACCTGCTTCTTGCCTTTTCCCAACTGCCCTTCTCCTTTATTCTACGCCCTTATCCCTATCCTGATACCACATGCCCCATACAGTTGACTACAAGGCGATACCTTCTAGATCCAGCTCTAATATTACACCTCAACCATATTCATTAGGTAATGGGATCCTTCTAAACGCATGGTAATCGCCACAACACTATCCCCACATCTACATCAGGTTTTGGTATTTATCACAAAATGTTGTCACTCAATATCACAATGTTCTCATTGGTATAACACTAAATAAGTTTTACTTGTTGCATGACGATTTAAAATTGGTTGTAAAAGGTAGGTTTTATTTTTTTTTTTTAACTTTAATGCATTCTCTGCATTAAAGTGTTACTAAACCCACAACAGTAAAATCAGTCTGTATATGCAGTAAAGCAAGCTTGTTATCCTCACTGTGGAACCTAAAGGGGTTAATCCTTTGCATTGTGTAAAAAGGCCGTTTAATCCTGACTTCTCTGATCCTCCCCTTCTACCAGTGTCCCCCTCTTATTTCCTGCTAAGACATGGTGTGTAGTCACTCTGCACATGCTTAGTTTGGTGTGTAATGCTAGAGAGGTTTTTTTTTTCCTTGGGAGAGTGCATGTGATCAGCATAGGGACAATCAGAACTGTCCAGACAGAGGTCAGGAGGCTCTGCATCCTAATAGAGCAGAATGAAAACACCTCCTACAAGCTTTAACATGTGCTCAGCTGGACACTGATAGAAGTCACAAGACTGCACTAGAAAAGGTATTTAGCAGTTTATATTTACTAAAATAATTGCACTTCCATGTTCTGTGTACTGTCAGAGACCAGATATAGTGAATTCATGGTCCTGGGTTTAGTAACACTTTAAGATAAAAAAACCTTCTGTGAATAGGGGTCCCTCCCAGTTCCCCAAAAAACAAACAAAAAAAAAACACAACTTACATGAGCCTAATCCAGTGCTGTGCCCAAAAGCAGCAGTTCTCTCACCTCACTGGACAGAGAAAGCAGTGGGAGCCTGGGCTCCTTCTGCTGTCAATCACATCCTGTGAGGAGAGAGCAGAGGGACGGGGCCAAGCTGCGCTCTATGTGTCTATGGACACACATTGCAGGGCTTTGGATTAAGGATTAGGCCCACACAAGTGCCCCCATAGTAAACAAGTTGGGGATTTGAGGGGAAGGAGGGCAGGCGTACCGGCAGGGAACCCGATAAGGAGGATCAGGTCTGCTCCTGCTCTGTGCAAAACCACTGCAGAGGGAAGGTAAGTATTTTTTTTGTTTTGATTATGGTTAAAATCACCATAATAAAACACTGTATTATATACACAAAAACTCATTAAAAAAATTTCCTTGAATTTTACAATTAAAAAAGCCAACAAAAATGAGAACCTGCATAAAAAAAAAAAAAACCCACAATATTAAAAAGGTTAAATAGGTTTACATAACTCAATTAACAAAATAAATACAGAACAAAAAGAAGCATGCATATAAAACTTTACCTCATAAGTAATGAAATTGGAAGATTCCTCGAGATTCATTTCTTCTTTCCGTGGGGGATTATCATGGGTTGCCAAAGCCAAGCAGCGCAGAGTGTCTCGGCCTGTGCCCCACTCTCTGATCACACTCATAATCTTCTGTTTAATTCCAGGTGTTAACTGTAGTTTTGCACTTCCAACACGAATATGAGTACAACGATCTATTAAACCTTCAGGAGCACCCTACAAAAATTAAGTATTGACAGTATAACAAGCATTACGACACAAAACAAAAATATCGCAGCAAATAGAAATATAGGAAATACAATTTATTACAGAATAAAATCTGTGTGAAAAGAGAATAATTTACCTTGACAAACATTCTGTTGTTAGTGCGACTTGGTTTGTTTGGTGTGCAGTAAACAGACATAGATTTCCTATCTCTTGAGAACTCCAATGTAAATTCCTTCTTCATTAGCTGTTTAATAACCTGTAAATAAACAAGTTAGTTGTAGAAGCAAAGAAACACACTAACCACTACCAGTACAAAGCACAGCAGAAATGGGAGACCCAAGCCTTTTGTTATGGGGTTCTGAGATTTGCAATCATCATCTATGAAAAACAAAAACCCCACACATAGGAAAAAAAAAAAAAAAAAAAAAAAAACACACACACAACCCACCACTCCCACTTGAGACTAACCGAGTTGCAAGCATTGGCACGCTCTATTCTGGAGAGTCCCTTTAGATCTGTGTCAAATACATTCATTTTTTCAACCAGACAAGTAAGAGCAGTCTCTGTAGCTTCTCCAACTTTCTCATAAACTCCCTTTGCCTAAATGTAATAGAAGACAAAAAAACACAAATTTGTTATTAACCGTTTCAATACCGTGCAATTTTACACCTTCCTGCCCAGGCCATTTTTCAGGTTTCAGCGCTCTCACACTTTGAATGACAATTGCGCGGTCATACAACATTGTACCCAAACTAAAATTTTATCATTTTCTTCACACAACTAGAGCTTTCTTTTGGTGGTATTTAATCACCGCTGGGGTTTTTATTTTTTGCTAAATTAACAAAAAAAGACCAAAAATTTTGAAAAAAAACACACATTTTTCTTTGGTTTCTGTTATAAAAGTTTACAAATAAATAATTGTTCTTCATAAATTTAGGCCGAGATGTATTCTGCTACATGTCTTTGGTGAAAATAACCCAAATTGGGATGTATTTTTTAGTTTGTAGGAAAGTTATAGAGTTCACAAACTATGGTATAGATCTGAATATTGATCAATCCTGAAGTACCGACAGCCAATCTAATATCTTGAGGTCCAAGAATGTCAGAACAGTACAGATATCCCCCAAATGACCCTTTTTGCAGAGTAGACAGTCCGACGTACTTCATAAGAGGCATGGCGAGTTTTTTGAAGTTGTATTTTTTTGTCATAATTTTTCGGAAAATGAAAAAATTAAAAAACTTATTTTCACTATTTTTTTTTTTTTACATACTGTCACCAGTGCAGTACAGCGTCATCATATAACTGGCATGGCGGTGAACAGCGACACTGACTGGTGACAGTATGAAAAAAAAAATATATATATATTTTTTTAATTTTTTTATAATATTTAATTTTTTATTACATTTTTTTTAAGATTTTTTTTCATATTTTACTATGACCAAAATAGTACAATGTTACCATAGTAACACTGTACTACTTTGGGGAAGTGATCAGTATTTTTTTTTTTTTTTTTTTTTTTTTTTACACAATTTGCTTATAGCAAAGAATTACTTTGCTATAAGCAAGCATTTACCTGAATGAAATCGATTCATTCAGCTTTTTTTTTTTTTTTTTTTTTTTTTTTTTTTTTTTTGTGCTTAGCTGTGATTTGGTCACAGCTAATCACATGACGTGCATGTGATTAGCTGTGACCATTCACAGCTAGGCACTAGTATACAATGGATGGCATCATGAACGAAGCCATCCATTGTATACAACTGTCATGTGACCTGCTGTGATTGGTCACAGCAGGTCACATGGTACCGGCAACGGGAGCCGGTACTCGGATCTGTCATCGGCCGTGTCCGAGGTGCACAGGCGGTGACAGATCGCACTGCTGCGTCGCTCTGCAACCGCGCATGTGCGGGAGCACGCCAAATGGCGTGCACCCGGAATACAGGAGCACATTTCAAGCCGCCAAACGGCCATTGGCCGGGCGGCTAATGGTTAAAATAAATGTAAAAATTGCAGCATTCTAATAAAAAGTCAGGCACATACTAAACCTACAACATAATTGGCACTTACACTGATACCCTAATCTATTGCCTTTGGTAAGGAGATCATGTTATTAAAACACTATGATAGCAAGTACCACTGGATGCATTACAGTATAGCAAAAAAGCATTTTATCTTTGTTTTATTGAAATCAGCAATGCAATCAATTTACAAAATTGTGTATTACTTTACATTTTGCACAGAATCATGCATACACGCATAAAATTATATATAATTCTAGCATACAAACCTCATTGAAGTCCAAAGATGAATCGTTACAAAGTGCACAGATGGTGGCAAGCTCTGTTAGGCCTTCATACTCGTGACATTTCACTAGTTTGTCATCTTTCAACCTATTAAAATGAAAAATACAAAATAAAAAAAACAAATTCTCAATATTACCAACTGCATGTCTGCATGAAAGTACAAAATAATTAAATAAAAGTCTCTCACTTGAATTTAATTTCTGGGTAGCTTTACTCAAGGCCTTGAGTTTGCAGATTAAACAGTGTATGAGGTACTGTTACAGTATATGCAAACCCTCACCTTGTAAAACAATCCATTCAGTTTAAAATAGAAATGAAAGGCAAAACATTTGGGTATACATAAACAAAAAAAAAAAAAAAACACATTTTTTTTTTCTTTCTACAAGTGATCTCATACCCCCTGCTCTCAGCTGGATAAGGAGCTCAGGGAGAAGAAACAGCAGCACACTAAATGGCTGTGTGATGGGGGCTGTCAGCAGATATCTGATCATTGGAGGAGGGCAGGTTCAGTTGCTGTGCTCTCCTGCCTAACGTGGAAAATATGTAATAGGAAAGCAGAAGGACCAGGGATTTCACACAAAAAAAGCAATACAAAGAACTGGATACCTTTTCATACAAGTACATGGTACAGCAGGCACATATCAGGAATATGAAAGGTTAGGTTTACATATTCTTTAATACACAATGCAGGGCAAACACACTGAGCCCTGTGATGACAATTATGGCTGAATCATTCACAGGCCTCATTTACCAAAAACTAGTGATCTGGCCAGTAAATCACCTCTTGTATTAAGGTGCCTTCACTCTGGACGAATGAGCACAGGGACAGCTTTGAACAGCAGCATTGTCAGTCTGGGGGGAGAGGAGCATTTGATGGACTAGCAAATTTGGATACACTAGCAAATTGGAGCCAAGCTCCAGCTAATACTTAAGTAGGTAAAGCAACAGGTTTTTTCCCTTTGAGATAAAGGTTCTCAATAAACAACCAGAAGCTGACCATTGTAAGCACCCGTCAGTTGTAAATGGTTTGCCTCAACCCGTTAACTACTACATCTGCAAGACAGCTTGTTCAACAGACTTGCTGGCCAGATCACCAGCTGAAAAGAAGGGAAACAATGCCTAAAAGGAATAGCTGCAATATAATGAATGTTTACTTTTGGGTTTAACACCACACTAATAAGCAAGTACCCCGAGAGAAACAGCCAGAGCTGCTCTCAAAAGAACAGCAAGGAACGACATTAAACTATATTCAGGTGTAGGTAAGCAAATTAATTTGCCAGAAAGTAAAAGATTTAAAAAGGAACTTACACTTCTCCCATGGGAGCATACGTGGAGCCCGTTACAGAAAACTCATTCAGAAAGCAATTATCACCTTCAACTCTATCAACAATAAACATCTGTAGGAAGATAAAAACATCATTAGTAGATTCACCTTTTAAGAATAAACTTACATTTTAGCATGTTTAGTTGCAAAACCTATTCCCATTTGTCTAAAAATGTATCCTGCTTGAGAAATGCTAATAACAGCAACCAGATGAAAAAAAATACAAATATCCATGATCCCCTGAACTCAAGTAGGTTAGTGCGTACACTTTTTAAAATTACTGTTGATCTCCCATACCATAGGATATGGACTCCTTTCACATACAAAGGCAGCAGACTTGAGGTCCAACAGAATCACATATGTCTTAAAGGAGAAGTTCACCTTTGAGAACAAGAACAAGTTACATGTTCCACAAGTCAGGTAGAGGGATCCAGATCACCAGGTAATTGCTTAGCCAGGATTATTAACAGTTCACCAGTCGAACTGTATAGAATTATAAGTCTTCACTGTCAAATAGTAAAACATTGTTCAACTATGTATTTAGCCTGTAGTTCTTTCTTAAAAAAACAACTAATTAACTCAGTCTTTCAGACCAGATTAAAAAGCATAAAGGAGGTAACTTTAACCACTTGCCAACCACGCTATAGCCAAATGACGGCTACAGCGCGGCTGTCCATTTCTGGGAGGGCTTCATATGACGTCCTCCCAAAACGTGTCCTCCCTACGGACACAGCTGATCACATGATGTGGTAAAAGGCCAATCACAGCGGCCTTTTACCACGGCCTTTTTTGTTTATAGCGCAAAAAATGAAATACCCAGAGGCAATTAAAAACCACCAAAAGAAAGCTCTATTTGTGTAAAACAAAAAAAAAAGCTAAAAATTTATATGGGTGGAGTGTTGCATGACTGCACAATTGTCATTCAAAATGTGACAGCGCTGAAAGCTGAAAATTGGCCTGGGCAGGAAGGGGGTATAAGTGTCGGATAGACAAGTGGTTAAAGTATCTATACCCAAAAATAATTATCGTTTCAGATGGAGCAGGGAAGAGCTAGATCCTTGGTCAGGTATTACTACTATCCAGGGCTCCATTAAAGTGGCTATAAACCTGAAATAAGAAGGCATATCTCTCTACAGTGTGTACTTGTCCCAATCCAGAGCACCAAGGGTCATGTCGGTCTGCTGCCTCCTTCCTCTTATCACGAATCACTTCTGATGAATTTTCCTGACACCAAGAAAAATGGTGACAGGGAAGGGCACAGCCTGTGACTGACAGCCTCAGCACTGTTCCTGTGTACTGTGTGTATCCTTTCCCTCCAATCAGCTCTCAGAGCTCTCCTCACTGAGTGTGACTTCAGTTACCCCTGCTATTCAGAGCCAAGAGCGCCAGTGTAAATTCTGCACTTTGAATGAATGTAGAGAACAGATGGCTATGGATAAACAGGTATAACTTATGCAGGAGGATTTGTTTCATCTCTGTGCATCACCTGAGGCCAGTCACTTCACTGGGTATATGTAAGGGTTTACAACCACTTTAAAAAGATTCTCGTTACTTTTCTGTTCCGGGATAAAATCATTTTTGTTGCCATTAGAGAGGATTGCCCCCACAGCCTGTCCAGACAGGTCTAGCAGACCTCCCATCACAGTAAAACCTGGAGCGAGTTCTCATCCTTCCCCAGTCTACTCAAAACTAAAAAAGTAAGATGTAGGTTAATGGCTGCTGCAGGCACACAGTTTATACACACTTACAGAAATGATACAAGTATAGTATGTAGCTAGGCAGATCCAGGGACAGCGGCTAGGCCAGTGGTCGGCAAGCCGCGGCTCGCGAGCCACATGCGGCTCTTTACAGTTTAATGCGGCTCTTCTGTGTGCCGGGCGCCCGCTCCCCTCCCTCCTCTCGGGCGGCCGCCCCAAAAGTCAGGACTCTGCAGCTAGCCCAGCAATGGGCAAACTACGGCCCGGCGGACCTTTTAATCCGGCCCGCGGAGCGTGGCAAACATTGGCTGCCAGGATGTAGGCGGGGCAGCGTGACGAACTCCTCTCCTCTCACAGTCCGCCCTGAAGACCGGAACGGCGCGGGAACACGGCGAGAGGAACGCGAGGAGCAAAGGTAAGTGAATTGACACAATATGGGGAATGAATTACTATATGGGGGATGAATTACTATATGGGGGCGAATTACTATATGGGGGATGAATTACTATATGGGGGATGTATTTTCAGTTTTAAAAATGTGGCTCTCAAAATAAATTTAAATCGTGGTTTTGGCGAGATTTGGCTCAGTTGAAAAAAAAAGGTTGCCCACCACTGGGCTAGGCCGACCTAATGACAGTTTAAAAGATATAATATTATAAAGGTTGATATACTATCTTTTCTATACTCCGAGCTTAAACAATTTTGTAAAAAAAGTATATACAGTCAGGTCCATAAATATTGGGACATCAACACAATTCTATCATTTTTGGCTCTATACACCACCACAATGGATTTGAAATGAAACTAACAAGATGTGCTTTAACTGCAGATGGTCAGCTTTAATTTGACGGTATTTACATCCAAATCAGGTGAACGGTGTAGGAATTACAACCGTTTTCATATGTGCCTCCCACTTGTTAAGGGACCAAAAGTAATGGGACAGAATAATCATAAATCAAACTTTCACTTTTTTTAATACTTGGTTGCAAATCCTTTGCAGTCAATTATAGCCTGAAGTCTGGAACGCATAGACATCACCAGACGCTGGGTTTCATCCCTGGTGATGCTCTGCTAGGCCTCTGCTGTCTTCAGTTCCTGCTTGTTCTTGGGGCATTTGGCATTTTCCTTCAGTTTTGTCTTCAACAAGTGAAATGCATGCTCAATCGGATTCAGGTCAGGTGATTGACTTGGCCATTGCATAACATTCCACTTCTTTCCCTTAAAAAACGCTTTGGTTGCTTTTGCAGTATGCTTTGGGTCATTGTCCATCTGCACTGTGAAGCGGCGTCCAATGTGTTCTGAAGCATTTGGCTGAATATGAGCAGATAATATTGCCCGAAACACTTCAGAATTCATCCTGCTGCTTTTGTCAGCAGTCACATCATCAATAAATACAAGAGAACCAGTTCCATTGGCAGCCATACATGACCACGCCATGACACTACCACCACCATGCTTCACTGATGAGGTGGTATGCTTAGGATCATGAGCAGTTCCTTTCCTTCTCCATACTCTTCTCTTCCCATCACTTTGGTACAAGTTGATCTTGGTCTCATCTGTCCATAGGATGTTGTTCCAGAACTGTGAAGGCTTTTTTAGATGTCGTTTGGCAAACTCTAATCTGGCCTTCCTGTTTTTGAGGCTCACCAATGGTTTACATCATGGGGTGAACCCTCTGTATTCACTCTGGTGAAGTCTTCTCTTGATTGTTGACTTTGACACACATACACCTACCTCCTGGAGAGTGTTCTTGATCTGCCAACTGTTGTGAAGGGTGTTTTCTTCACCAGGGAAAGAATTCTTCGGTCATCCACCACAGTTGTTTTCCGTGGTCTTCCGGGTCTTTTGGTGTTGCTGAGCTCACCTGTGCGTTCCTTCTTTTTAAGAATGTTCCAAATAGTTGTTTTGGCCACACCTAATGTTTTTGCTATCTCTCTGATGGGTTTGTTTTGTTTTTTCAGCCGAATGATGGCTTGCTTCACTGATAGTGACAGCTCTTTGGATCATCTTGAGAGTTGACAGCAACAGATTCCAAATGCAAATAGCAAACTTGAAATGATCTCTGGACCTTTTATCTGCTCATTGTAATTGGGATAATGAGGGAATAACACACACCTGGCCATGGAACAGCTGAGAAGCCAATTTTCCCATTACTTTTGGTCCCTTAACAAGTAGGAGTCACATATGCAAACTGTTGTAATTCCTACACCGTTCACCTGATTTGGATGTAAATACCCTCAAATTAAAGCTGACAGTCTGCAGTTAAAGCACATCTTGTTTGTTTCATTTCAAATCCATTGTGGTGGAGTATAGAGCCAAAAATGTTAGAATTGTGTCGATGTCCCAATATTTATGGACCTGACTGTATATGAAATATTGTAGAACAATTGCAAGTGGAGCACTGGTCCCCCTTCGTTTCTCCTTACATCCTGCTGAAAAAGCGCCTGTTTACAGGGCTTGAGAATTCAAACTAAAATTTGCACAGAAATGAACGAGTTACATAAGCGATTTCTTTTTCCCTTTGTACAGTGATATCTTTATAGATTTACATGGGGTTAAAGAACTTTAGATTAGGGGCCCATTTAGGTTTGTGTGTGTGAGTGTGTATGTATATTGTTATGCATCACGTTTCCATTGTGTGCCAAAATGCATTTTCAGTGTGTTTATGTGTAGGATTTTGAGCTGGTAGAGTTAACAGTTATTGACCCAACTTGTTAATACAAGTGGCCAATGCATCTAACAAACACATGCTGTATGCATTTTGATGGGTTACCATTGCTTTTTATGGGCCTCCAATGCACTGAAATGCAGGAAAACAAAAATGCTGCTTTTTTTCAAGACGCAGCACAAATTTGGGGACACAATGTTTGTTATGGGGAAGATGGATTCCAGCGCTTTCAGTGCATTGCTATGTATGGCTTAAAACACAACATTATAAATTGGCCTTAAAGTATAACTAAAAGGCATAACTATTTTTAGCTTTGGACAGAGTGGAGATGAAATAAAACACCGGTCAGGTTTTTATTGCTGTTTGTGTATGGACAATTCATCTTCTCTATTTGTCCTTTTTACAGTTATCAAAATGTGAAAGTAAAAGAAACCTCACATTTTGTGTTGTCCTTAGAAATATTCCAATGGGGGCACTAGTTCTGGAAACATGGGGGTCCCAAAGTTGCAGAAATTTTCTCACTTCCAGTTTTGACTATGGGACAGGAAGTAAGGGTAAATCTCCCTAATGCAGCGGTTCTCAACCTGGGGGTCGAACGACCATTTCCCAGGGGTCGCCTAAGAGCATCGGAAAACACATATTTCCGATGGTCTTAGGAACCGAGACACCGCTGCAGTCTCCGGTGATGTGTGGGCGGGATGATACGCT